TAAGCATTGATCAGACTGTCAAAACTCAGAGGGAAGGTAGGGGAGGGTGGGGGTAAAGGGAAGAGATCAAGCAAAGGACTTGTATGCATGCATATAAGCCTAACCAGTTTTCATGGACAATAGGAGGTGGGGTGGGGGCATGTGTGGGGAGGGGGTTGGGATGGGAATGGGGGGATGACAAATATGCGATACCTTAACAATAAAGAAATTAAAAAAAAAAAGATGAAGCTCAAGCACAGCCCCTTCCAAGTTGCCTTTGAGAGATATAATCTGCACATCAGTCCTTGATAGAAACACATGCATTCTCACAACTGCAAACACTTCCATCACCCTATGTAAACACACCGAAGGCAAGTGCATTTCCTATAATTTGCAACATAACACTCAATTCCAGTCTTGCAACATAACTACCTATGATGTTTAGATTAGAATTATTTACTCTGTAAAATGAGGGTTTTGGAAGGAAAGAAAACATAAATTACTATCTTTCAGGAAGTAGGCCAAGCAATTTATGAATATTCCTTCATTTTATCCTTAAGTGTTATTATTCTACTTTTTTACTTTATTTCATTTTGGTTCTCATAACTATGTTAAAATAAATAGTCCCATCCCCATTCTACATATTTTTTTTAAATTGAGAGGCTTTGAAGGTGTTCTCTAAGTTTAAATGAAGATACTTAATGTCATTTATTAATTAAGATTTGGTTCAACAGATAAATGTTTCAAAACTAGGGCTATAAGAATGAAACAAATAATGGAAAAGAAGTGAAAAGATAGGAATCCACTCAGTATGTTTTGAGTAATTAGAATTTTGGGGGCATCCCTAGGTATAGTTTTCAAAGACAATGTGATTATTGCTTCACCTATCTTGGCTTTTCAGAAAGATGACATCTGAAAAAAATAATCCCATATTTTCTCATATTTTTATAGTCTTCCTGCGCTCATAGCTTCACTTATTTGCCACAAGCTGATAGGGCCTCAATTTATATTTCCAGAGTAAATCTTGCTTTGAAATCCAGACCTGAATATCCAGCTTCCCACCTGGCATCACCATTGGAATTTTTCAAGCACAGCACGTCAACACGCAGGATGTTAACACTCCTTCCTCGCCACATTTCTCCAGCGAGCTACATCTTTGAAAATAAAAATAAAAAATATTTTTTCTCAACATAAGCCAGAAAACATGGAGTCTTCTGGAGCATCTCCTCTTTCAGCTGCACTGCTTGGGTAGCCACACATCATCTCTTTTCCTAAACATAGTATTCTCACTTGTTTCCTCATGCTGTGCACATCAGCTATTAGTGCCCATCAGCTCCTTCTCTACAAAGCAATTTGTGTAATCTTTTAAAAATTATGGACTGTGCCCTAGTTGGTTTGGCTCAGTGGATAGAGAGTTGGTCTGCGGACTGAAGGGTCCTAGATTTAATTATGGTCAAGGGCACCTGCCTGAGTTGTAGGTTCAATCCCCACTGGGGGATGTGCAGAAGGTAGCTGATCAATGATTCTCTCTCATCACTGATGTTTCTATCTCCTTCTCCCTTTCTCTCTGAAATCAATAAAAATATATTTTTAAAAAATATGATCTGTTTATATTAATACCCACCTCCCCAGATACGAACAGTGGCTTCCTACTACTCTTAAAAAAACTACTACAAATATTTCTCATGTGGCATCTGCTACTCTTCATGATTCGGGTCCTATTATTCTCTGTAGCCTTATTTTGAATGATTCTCTCCTTAACTCTCCATTGACATAATGATCATTTTTTAGTTTCTTGAACTTATTATGTACCTCTCATCAAAAAACTCTTTGCAAAATATATTCTAGTCTTCTGAAACACCTCTACCATTTCTCTAAATACTCATGCTTCAAATCTTGATTTAAGATACCATCAAAGATTTTCCCAGAGTCTGGAAACTAAATGAGGTTTCCCTAGTTTAAATGAATCCTTGGTAAGAGGATATTTTTCCCCCCAAAATGGCAGTGTGATTATCCAAGTTAAACATTAGTATTCCAAAGTGAGCCACTTTAGACATGGTTCAATGAAATTAACCGATGATGAGAACCACCAATAAAGAATTTAATCAAGATTAATACCTTAATTTTAAAAGGTTGATAAGGTGGGTGAGCACATTAATGATTTCATCCATTAAACCTTTTGGTGCTAAGAATTGATGTCCTTGTCTTATCTAGGCAAAGAATTTTTTATTTCTTGGCAGAAGCAAGATTTATAAATTGAACTATAGTAGTCATTTTTCTCAATTGACAAAAGGCACAATTTTTGCCTTGAGCCCTTGTCTATTAGCTCATTGTATTTTGGGCTGTCCCTAAATCAGTCAGTTTAATAGGGGTGGGGGAAAGATTAATTATCAGAGAACCTCCTTCCCATAAAAAATAGATTTATTACCACTTGAATACCAATAAACATTGATTAAATGCTGTTTAGTACAAATAAAATGCCTTGTAAAACATTATCTATAGTATAATTATTTTTGTTAAATATATATATATAATGTTATAGTTTTAAAACTAGATATAAGAAAATATGGAGCAATTAAATGTAATTTTTTGTTCTCTTTTTTGCTTGTTTATATTTCTTTGAACTATATATAGGATGAAACAAAAGTAGGTTTATAGCTGTTTATATGAAAAGTAATACAGTAGTTAAGCTGAAACCGGTTTGGCTCAATGGATAGAGCGTCGGCTTGGGGACTGAAGAGACCCGGGTTCGATTCCGGTCAAGGGCATGTACCTTGGTTGCGGGCATATCCCCAGTAGGGGGTGTGCAAGAGGCAGCTGATCGATGACTCTCTCTCATCGATGTTCCTAGCTCTCTATCTCTCTCCCTTCCTCTCTGTACAAAATCAATAAAATATATTTTTTTTAAAAAAGAAAAGAAAATACAGTAGTTAATAAATAATAATAATACGAAACTAACCTCTGTGTTTCGTATACTCACAGCTATAAACCTACTTTTGCCCAACCCTGTATAATGAATAAATAACACTTGGGAATAGAATAATATAGAAGTTAAAACAAAAAGACTAATTCATAACATTTTAGGACTTGAACAGAATTGGGGGTTTATTTGTTAAGCCAGTTTCTAATTACTGGAGGTAATGTAGGCACACATACAACAACTAATCTTCTTGAATCCTCTCTTTTCACATTTCTGTCTAGCAAAATAATAACGATTCTTAAACATCCAACTCATATATACATGGCTTTCACATTTCTGTTATAGCATGTCTCATGCCTCTCACCAATTAGAAAGTTCTCCAGTATAACATTAGTCATGAGGAGGAGAAAGAAGGGTGTTGGGATGATGACAGTTTCTGCTCACCAGTTGTCAAGCACTCAGTCATGTATCCCAGGTTATTTTAATTAATACTCGGAATACCTTCATGTCATAAATATTATTCTGATTTTGGAGATGCAGAAAAGGAAAGTCACACAGGTTAAGTAATTTTACAAGTTTTCTTTGTCACAACCAACAAAAGTCAGATTCTCACAGTTTCATGTTTCTCCAAAACTTGACATATGGTAGGTAGTCAGTCAACATATTTAATAATTGAGCAATTTAGGGAGCAATCGATATTTTCAGTGTCTATCTGTGGCCTGCGGGTACCTCAGTTAATTCACAATTAAAAATCAACTTTGACCAGAGTTAGCATTTAAGTCCAGATTCCCTATGCAAATATAAGTGTTTCCATTACAGAAAAATAATCACCACTCTTGCTGTCTGGCCTCCTTCTTCCCTTTTTAATTGTCTTTCAAACTGTTCAAAATGTGTGTGTGGGTGTTTTTGAAAACTTTTTAAATTCCTGTTTCAAAGCATCACTTTCTTAAAAGACTCCACCCTGTGATCATGTACTAGCCTTTTATCTCCTACTTTAGACTAAGTAAAAAGAACTTACTTATTTTTCACTTTCATAAAAACCATCACTTCGAATAATCCCTTTGGAAATGGATAGGACAAATATTATTACTTTGATTTTAAGGATGAAAAGGTTAAGTCTGCATGAGTTTCAGTGATTTGCTTCAAGTCACACCACAGAGCTATAACTCTTGGGAGTTGTCTGATTCTAGATCTAGTGTTCATCCTTCCGTGGTACATAGCCTGATAATCCAAAGGCATTCTCCTTGTCACACTACTAATGACCCACTGTAAATCCTGCTAAAGCTTCAGCTTCTATTTCATTCTCACTGGACCTTTGTGGTCTCTTAATATTTTGGCTATTGCTCCAGAGTTTTTAATTGAATGCAGGTATAACTAACTTCCCTGATTTAAACAGGAAAAGACTTTGCTGAGAGGATACTGGATAGGCCAAGAAATCATGGAGAAGCAGGTTCAAAAGCAGGTGAAAATAAGGGAGGAGGGCAGCAGCCAAGTCATCTGCTAAAATGATACCAGAGATCAAAGGGTACTGCTGGACAGTAAGTAACTTTCTTGGTAGCTCTGGCCTTGCTAACTCTAAAACCTGGATGTTGTTATTGCAATGGCCATTGACCACTACTCAATTGTTTTTCAAAAGTCCTTATTTCTTTGTGTCAGTATGTGACAAAAAAAAGACCAATAATTAATAATTCCATTATGATTTCAATTTAGTTTTGTACATACTTTCTTTGGGCTAACTTTTTTTTGACATGGGAACATACTTAATTTATAACTATGACTCAATTGTCACTCAACCAATAATTACCCTTGTTCTGCAGCATTTTGAAGGATCTAAACTTGTCATGTAAGTTTCATTTATCTTCTAAAAAAATTCCTGTTTCAAAGTTTTCTCTAATATTTCTTTCAAACGAATGCATTTTATCAGGGCCTGACAGCATGAACTGGTGCTTTGCAGAATACTTTCAAAAAATAAAAAAATATCTTTGGCATCTTTCCATGTCTTGGGATTTTAAGATATGTCTTATTATTTTACTTTAAGAAATCCAAATATTTCATTTATAAATGATATGTTTATGAGTCTGAATAATCCTTTCCTCTGCAGTATTTTTGAGCAGTGGCTCCGAAGGTACCGTCCTCTTCAAGAAGTTTATCCAGCAACTAACGCACCCATTGGACATAACCGGGAATCCTACATGGTTCCTTTTATACCCCTCTACAGAAATGGTGATTTCTTTATTTCATCCAGAGACCTGGGCTATGACTATAGCTACCTACAAGATTCTGGTAAAGTTTAATTTCTTTCACATAAATTGCTGAATAAAGTGTGACTGATTTCTTTTGCGAGAATACAAAACCTTATGCTTGTACAATGTTATCACCAACTACTTTAAATTGGATAAGTGCATTGCAGCCCCAAACTTATTACCAATGTATTATTACATGAACCAAGTCCCAAGAATTTTTCAACTCAATATTCATTCTGCATAATATGCATTTCATACATGAAAGCCATGGAAAGAGATTAAAATTAAAATCAGTGGGGAAAATGGGCTTGAAATATGACTAGCTGCTTACTGTTGTGTGACTTCAAGTCCATGAATCTGTTTTTAACCTGAAATACTGGGATCAGAATATCTCATACAATAGTTTTGATTAAGGAGCCTACTGCATGGAGCAGTTTTGAAATTATCTTTGGGAAATTCCTGCTGGGTTACCTAGAAAAAACCTGGACATTTTATTGTTTAATCCTAAATCCTAAATAATAAATATATAATATGCAAATTGACTATCACTCCAACACACAAGATGGCCACCCCAATGTGGTCAAAGATGGTCACCCCCATGTGGACACAAGATGGCCACCATAAGATGGCCAGCCTGGGAACACAGTTGTGGACAATCAGGCACTCAGGGAAGGACAGTTAGGGGTGACCAGGCAAGCAGAGGAGGGAAGTTGGGGGCAACCAGGCCTGCAGGGGAGGACAGTTGAGGAGGACCCAGGCCTGCAGTGAAGGGCAGTTGTTGGGGGACACCCAGGCCTGTAGGGGAGGGGAGTTGGGAGAGACCAAGCCTGCAGTTGGGGGGACTCCAGGCCTGCAGGGGAGGGCAGTTGAGGGAAACCAGGCTTGAAGGGGAGGATAGTTGAGGGGGACCCAGGCCTACAGTGGAGGGCAGTTGGGGGGACCAAGCCTGCAGGGCAGGGCAGTCAGGGGTGATCAGGCCATCAGGGAAGGATAGTTAGGGGTGACTATGTCAGCAGGGGAGTGGGTAGAGGGTGATGAGGCAGAAGCGGTTAGAGGCAATTAGGCAAGCAGGCAAGCAATTGGGATCCAGCAGTCCTCAGTGGGATTGGGCTAAATGGGCAGATTGGAAAAGGTTTCGACAGGGCTAAGGGACACACATACATACCCCCATGCATGAATTTTTAAAAAAATATATTTTATTGATTTTTTACAGAGAGGAAGGGAGAGAAATAGAGAGCTAGAAACGTCAATGAGAGAGAAATATTGACCAGCTGCCTCTTGCACACCCCCTATCGGGGATGTGCCCACAACCAATGTCATGCCCTTGCCCAGAATCGAACCTGGGACCTTTCAGTCCGCAGTCGACACTCTACCACTGAGCCAAACCAGTTTCGGCCCCCCATGTATGAATTTTATGCACCAGGCCTCTAGTAATAATAATAATAATATGCTATGATTAAGATAGAGATATAAAACTCTAGAATTGTAATTAGATCTGGGTTTTAAATACTCTTTTTTTAGTAGATCTATATCAGTAATTCCTTGATAATGAACAGATAGTAATATCTCCCCTCACTTGAGAGCTTGCTACATGCAGATTCCATACATGCATTAACCAACCTTATATTAGGTAAGTATCATTATTACTAGAAAGAGGTGAGGATACTAATATGAAGAGAATTTAAATGACTTTCCCAATATTAAACACCAATATTTGGAGGAGTCTGTTATCAACTCTGTACTATACAATGCTTCCACTTTAAGAAGGTCAACATTTGCCAAGACTGGTTTGGCTCAGTGGATAGAGCGTCGACCTGCGGACTTAAAGGTCCCAGGTTCGATTCCAGTCAAGGGCATGTACCGTGGTTGCGGGCAAATCCCCAGTAGGAGGTGTGCAGGAGGCAGCTGGTCGATGTCTCTCTTTCATTGATGTTTCTAACTCTCTATCCCTCTCCTTTCTTCTCTGTAAAAAAAAAAAAAAAAAAAAAAAAAAATCAATAAAATAAAAAAAAGGTCAACATTCAAAAGCTGTAAAACAGCATGGGGTTTGTGGGTAAGAGGTATTCAGCAAGCACTGACATTTTATTATATTTATTGATAATTTGTGAAAACATAAATGGATAAATATAATGAACAAATGAGTGACTTTTATCAACTTCTTACTTCTTGAGCTAGACTTTAGGGACTTAATGACTGATCTAGTTCCAGACCTCAAAGAACTCTAAACTAAATGTGAAAGTCAGACAGTTGTGTAAGAAAGCATGAAACACAGGCTGTGTTAAGTGTAGTAAAAGAGTCATAACCTTCACAGAGAAGAAAACAAGGACTACTGAGTAGTTCCATCTAATAAGACAAGACAAGGCTTTGAAGGAATAACAGGAAGGTTGTAGATAAAAAGGGGCAGGGAATACTTTAAACTAAAAGGAAGCAAGAAAAATAAAGGTGAAAAGTGACATCATTTGTATTGAGTGCTAAATTCCCTTATTTGAGGAGTATGAATTATGGGAATTTACACTGAGGAGTTAAATGTAGTTATTCCACAGTACTAACAAATAATGCTTTTTATGTTCCAAAAAATCCTCTAGGTGGCTGTGTTTATTATTTCCTTTAATATTCATAACCATCCTATGAAGTAGGTACTGTTATTTTTTTTTTTCCTTTTCAAGGTGGAAAACAGAGGCTTAAAAAATATAAACAACTTGTCCTAGGGCCATCCAGTATGTGGCATAGCAAAACCACACTTTAGGGCCAAGAAAAGAATGTGCATGTTATCCTTTTCCCTCTCTTTCGGGAACCACTAGTTGAACAGATATGAGTTCAACTGACCTATTTGGTGTATCTGATTATCATAGCCAATGGAAGGCAGGCTGAAGTGGCTGGCAGAGAGCAGATCTTTGCAAACCTTAAGAGAACAGGGGATTTTACAAACTGTGGAGGTGTGGTGAGGGGGGTGGGTAAAAAGGAAGGGCATGTATTGCGTTCCCTTTCTTGTATAAATACCCATAGTACATAATGAGGGCAGCATATTGATAATGGCTTTCCAGAGTAACCACTTAGGATTGTATGATTTCCATTTTTTAACATGCCAGACTCTTTTATTGACTCATGTTTTTCAATATGCTCTTCTCTCTGGCTAAATTCTGATGCCATTTATTTATCTGCCAAACTCTCAGGTATCAAATCATTTATACATATATATAGCCACGTTCATTCACTCTTTTATTAGGGTTCCTAAGGATAAATCTTTCCCTTCTCGACCTTGGCTGGGAGTCCTACAATATCAGAATTGATATCTTGAAAGCTTTTTCTAAGTACTAACTGGTATCTGGTATTGAATGAAATCAATGAATTAGTTTGAGTGTAAGTGATGTTTATCATAAAGGGTGGTATCTCTTAACCAATATCAGTAAAGCTTGTAAGAAAAATGTCATCCCTCTTAATACCCAGTTCATTTTTAGATATGTATTTTTACATGTATCAAGTCTTCTATTACACTAGGTTTGTTTTTTTCTTAGTGGTTTTATTGATTAATTAATCCTTTCTGCATACCTATGTTCAATAACTACCTTGAAAAAGATATAGTCTTAAAGATACTGTAGATACAATGTCAAATAACACACCCTCTATCTGTACAGTGCTTACATCCTAATAGAAGAGAAAGGCCTTAGACAACTACTTACCTAATGACTCATTTAGAGATGTCCCATTTCTAGAGATCAACGAAGTGACCTTTCAGAGGATATCAGTATGAAAGGTAGAATTAATTATTTGATAAAGGGCTCCTCTCGATTGTGGATTTTGGCCATAATGTTAGAATACCGGGAGCCTTAATAAATTTTAAACAGATCATGGGTCTGTTTACAAAAGATCACTGTTCTTGCGGTATGTAGAAAGTTTGTAGCAATAGCAAAGCATATTTAGGGAGGCCAGGGAAAACACTATTATAATGCCCACGGGGAGATGAAGGCAGTTTGGCTTGCATTGGTGTTGGTAGAAAAAGAAGCAGAAAGCACTGAAGAACTTGATATTATTTTGAAAAGAAAATGTACATAACTTGAAAAAAAGGATTTTAACATGAGTTGAGAAGGAGCGAGATGCTAGGGTTGCCTCTATGTTTCCTGGGCTGTGAAACTAATGAATGGTAGATATTATTCACTGAGATAGTAACAATAGGAGCAGCGCCAAACACAGAAGGATCCTCATAGTTGCTTTTCTTAGATAGTGAAATGGAGTGGTATGAGATAGCAGGGAAAGTAAATTGCTATGTCGTTTCTATTCTGTTTGGTAGGTGAGTAAGTTGAGACCGGAAAGATAAAGTGACTGATTTTAAGTCACAAAGCTTGTAAGTGACAAATATTATATTTCAAACCAATTATCTCTCCATTATTCCATGGAAGAGAAGGTTCTCCTTAACCCACCCATGTCTTTCACACACATGTTCCACCTCATGGCTCCTCCCCTCACATCCAAATGGGTACCTTTTACTGAAAGGCAACCAAACCCATTGGAGGAGTAAAGGAAGAGGAGACTCAAGTCACAGGAAGGGCTCAACAGTATCTAACATTTATTTCTAGTTAAATTTTTAAAAATAAAAGGAAGTCATATTTACTATGTAGCCTCTATTTACTCTGCATTTTGTCAGATATCTTCAATGCACTACATATTAAAGTGACTAATAGCAACATATGTTAAGAATTTGCAGTCCCATTTTCAAAATAATTTTAAAATATATTAAAAATTGATAAAGTTTTCACATTTAAAAAAATTTTCTTTTACCTTTGTTTGCTTTCATTGTTTAAATTACTATAATTCCAACTTACACATTTTTAAAAATAACTTACCTTATGTGTGCCATTTGCAAGTGATTGTCTCTTCCTGATGAGAAGAAACATGAAATTGCAATATTATTCAAATTATCTTTAATAAGTTCTAAGGCATTTTAGAGGTGTCTTAGTGACAGTGGACAAAAGGACAGTGCCTGGGAGAAGAAAACTAGCAGAAGTGGACAGGGTTTTAGCCCGTTAGCCCCACTTACACTGAAGGAGCTGCACTTTTATCTTCTGTGAATGAATACCAGGCTTAATTAGTTTTTAATAAATTCCTCTGATTAAAAAACAATATCCCTGTTTTAATTTTTCTGAGGCTTACTAAGTTTATGGTTAACAGTGAGACTCTCATTTTAAATTTTACTTCATGTTGCTACCCATTCTTTCTAAGATTAGTTTATTAAACAAAAATTCCTTTTCTCCTTGGTTTGTGGATCTCATTTCTATTTTATATAAGTCTTACATATAATTGTAACTCCAGAATATGTGAAGATACTTCTCTGTCTTTATTGTAGTAGGCATATAATTAACTTTTAAAAATAATTAGAACTTTTTGAAATTCAATTTACAGATTATATATTATCTATTATATCCTCTACAACATTCCAACAAGGTGATATTATTGTTTTCTTATTTTCCTGATAAAGACACTAAGGCATAGGACTATTAGGTATAACCTTCCTAAGCTCTTACAGCTGGGAAGTAGCAGGGCTAACTTTCAAACTCAAACATCTGGCTCCTAAAGTATTATGCAAGGATGACAAGGATGATGATGATGACTATGATGATGATGATGACCACAACAGTTGTAAAACCTTGAATGTCTTTCTATTTCAGACCCAGACTTTTTTCAAGATTACATTATGCCCTTCTTAGAACAAGCGAGGAGGATCTGGCCATGGCTCATTGGGGCAGCTGTAGTGGGGTCTGTCCTCACTGCTATGCTGGGAGGGCTCATTGGCCTGCTGTGTCGTCGTCGAAAGAGAAAGCAGCCCTCTGAAGAACAGCAGCCACTCCTCATGGAAAAGGAGGATTACCACAGCGTGTTGTACCAGAGCCATTTATAAAAGGCTTAGACACTAGAGCAGGGCCAAAAACCCAGACCTCACGCAGACTCAAACACTGTTCAAGTCCCCAGGGCACGTCCTACCAGAAATCCTTGACATTGTCTGAATTGTAATCTAATACAAAGTGTACCCTTCTTCTATCTCAGAACACATTCGTGATGGCCTCGCTGGTTTTTGTTCATCCTTTTGACAATTTCCCTCAAGCCCCATATTTTCAAGGGAAAAAAAATGCTATTTGGTCATTAATAACTGTTACTTGTATCTGGATAAACTTATAAAATGATAAAATGTGGGTATTCTTTTAATTCTTTCCTTCTCATTGTTTAATGGTGTTTCTTTTTTATTGTCTTTGACTTTAATAAAATAGTAACAAATTTATACTGAGTTCTCTGAGCTTGAGAAAGGCATTTTTATTTTTCCCAGAAAGCATAATATTTCCCTTACATTTTATAGTCCTGCTCCAAAAGGTTTATAAACATCAAATATAAAACATCAAATATAAAACCTTCCACTCTTTCCTGCCATAATCATAACTATACTTTTGAAGGTCACCGAAAACAAGGGCCTTGCCCTTCAACAGATCTGGCTACATACTTGTCTCAAGATGTGCTTGTTAAATATGTTGGCAGTATAGGAGGCAGTAGATAGGCATGAGTAGAGCAGGAACAACAGGCCAGGCACACAGAGTCACCAGGGCAGAAAACCCTAGGTATCTGGCAACTAGCAAAATTGGAAAGATAAGACCTCTCTCCCAGGTGACCTTCCTCCTCTGGCATACTGCTCATCACACAGTACAGATCCCTGACTTTTCATCTCACTGGTCATGTGATTCAGACCCTCTCCTGACATTTCCTCCCCTAGCATGTGGCTAATCATGTGATAGACCCATTAGAGGAGAAACAAGGGGCCCAAAGAATAGCCTCCTAAGATCCGCATAAAGGCCCTTGCAAAATTACTCCCTCAAGCACTAAATCCTCAGAACAATGAGGTTCTGACCTGCATCAAATCTTAAGAACAAAACCTCTGGTCTGTTGACCACAGAGACTGAGTTTTAGACAAACTAGAAATAACATTTAGGCCTCAGTTGTGTTTTAGCTTCAGTTCCAAAAAAGCAGCAAAACCAGAGGAAGAGACACCAGGGCTGACATCAGTGCCACATGACTAATGACCCCTTTCCCTAGTGCCAATCAATCAGAAGAGACCATGATCCTGAGAAAATACACCAGAAAAACTGATGCATTCTCCCCTTTCTTCCTGATGAGTACCTTTACTCTCTTCCTCCTAAGCTCCAAGGGCCCTTCTTTTTCCTCTGTAACTTGTTTCATGAGCCCACATACCCCAGCTGGCTCACTTCTTCCATGGTTCACTTCTTCTAACTCTGTGAGTTTCTAAATAAACTTTTGCTGGGCATTTGAGTCTTGGCTCTGAATGCTTTCTTAGCCAAAACTCAAAGACCAAGGTTGTTGAATCAAGATGTGCTTGTTAAATATGTTGGCAGTAGAGGAGGCAGTAGATAGGCATGAGTAGAGCTAGTTCCATTTCCTTGATAACAACAATGATAATAATAATCCCATTAAGAGCCTTTTTGTCTCTTAAAAAAATTTTTATTTAATTAGATAATGTATAAAATGCTACAAAACATTTCAAGGTTGAGAACAATTACATGAATATCTGTCTGTCTGCAATTGTAGTTAAATAACATTCCAATTTTTCTTAGCTATTAAAACCCTACATTAGGATGTCTAGATAATCCTGCTTTTTGAATTCAATAGGGTCCAGTTAAATTTCTAAAAATGCTCCAATTTATGTGAGGGCCTAGAAGAGGAGGGAAGGAGAGTGGGCTGGAAGAGTTTTATGGGTTAAAAAGGAGGACCTATGTAATACTTTCAACAATAAAGATATTTTTAAAAGATAAGAACCAACAGATAGAAGTTATAAGTGTGCAATAAAAGGAAAAGCTATCCAATACTCAGAGCTTTCCAAAACCAGTATCAACATTCTTGGAAAATAGTAAGTGGTTGCCACTGTAATTTTTCACATATACTTTGGATGGCTAATTCAACATGAATTCTATAAAGAGACTTTAAGTATTGAGTCTATGGTAATCATTATTTTTAAATTAATAAATATTTTATTATATTCAATTCCCTTCTACCTAGTTTGTATTCATCTGCTCAGCATTTTATTTTTGTCGTTCAGTTTGACTACTTAATTTTCAGTGTCATCCCTGAACAATGTCTTTCCACTCTGAATTCCATGCTTTAAAGACAGAATGATCCAATCCAAGCTCCCAGAAACCTGTGAGGGTCTGGCACCTGAACCTCTGCCTCTCTGGGAGTATATTTAAGATAACACACCTGTATGGTACCTTTCATCTAAACTTTTCTACAATCCCTGTGAAGTCTGAAGTTTAGTGTTCAGAGTATTTATAAATGCATTTAAAAAGAAATTGACTGGGGAATAAATGAGCTCTTGAAAATGCCTGATCTAAACCAAGATCACATAATTTTAAATGGTTACAGTTCACTCAGTCCCAGTTTGAACTTCAAAGAAAAACAGACATCATCCTATCATACACATACGATTTTGGTTAATTTTCATCTAGAAACACAGAAATTTACAAATATTGCTGGTGTGATGTCACTGGCTCTTAGAAATTACTAATAGCTAATGAATTCAGTTATAGAGCAGTATTCCTCTCCTAACTCTCATTAGTTGTCAGACTTACCATTGGCAATTTTGTTTAATTTCTGATGCCTATTGGAGAAAAGTGAGACATGGGATGAGGAGCGGCATATTTATTAACTCAGTGGGATCTGTGGGACCAGGGCAAACACTGGGAGGTCTATTCTCAACTTTGTGCATAACCAGGAAAAAAAAAAACACATTTAAAATAAATTAGCCAGGGCATCTGAGGAGAAGATTCAATTTAGACAGCAATTGGAAAAATAAACAAACAGATAACAATGAATGGGAAAGGAAATCTGGGTAACGGTCTGCAGAAGATGCTGGAGAAAGTGTAACCATGAATGTGGTTGCCTTCAGCCTAATCTCAGAACACAAGTATTTTGGTATGTTTGACTTGAAGGCAAAATTTTAGTCCAGTGGGTGTTTTTACAAAGCATCTTGAATATATTCCACTCAAGGAATTTTCATGATCATTGACAGGAATCTGTATAAAGTCATTCTTTTCTCTATCACAAGGCACATCCCTCCTTTATCACTGCACTTCAACTGAAAATACTGTTTTGTTTCTATAGAAGAGGGGTGGGGAACCTTTTTTCTGCCAAGGGCCATTTGGATATTTATAACATCATTCTTGGGCCATACAAAAGTATCAACTTCAAAATTAGCCTGCTATATCTGGTCAAATATTTAATTAACTCCCCCCTAATGTCTTGGCAGGACCAGATCAAATGATTTTAGGGGCTGGACCTTCCCACCCCTGGTATAGATGCTCAAGGTAATAGGTGTAGCAGCAATCTACAATAATAATGAAAGCATGATATGCTAATTAGACTTGATAGTCAGACGACCTTCCAGACAAAGTCAGAGCTGTGAGGGTCGAACCCCTTTCGTGAATTTCATACACCAGGCCTCTAGTATTTGCTATAAAAGCACATTACATTTGATACCTTGGTTTCCTCAATAAGGTATCAAAATTACATGACTGATATTTCAAGACACCTGGCAGTTTTACTAAATTTAATTAACATTATATTCTGTGGCTTTGTTTTATAATATCAGCTTTAATAAATTGATCCATTTTCGGCTCTCCCCTTTTTCACATTATAAGTCACTTTTGTCACGAAGAAAGAAATAAGCAGCTGCCACTTTTTTGTTCCTCCTTCTGTTTTACATTTTTTTTAAAAAAGAATTTTTAGTGCCCAACCTTTCCAACACATCAAATATATAATTTTCCATCTGTAAAAATAAATATGTGATGGGTACAAGTCATTTCAGCCACTGTCTCTAGCAGGCTGACAAGTGGCATTGATTGTGAATGCGTTAAAATAGCCTCTTCCTTGTTTATGTGGGCTTTGATTTGTAGGAACACTTTCCTTTGTCACCATAAAAGGCCCTCATTGGGGCCACCTATTGTGAGCCTGTGTTATTTTGGAGGATGTATCAGGAGAACAAAGTTCCACTCCCCTTCTGGTAAAACTCTTCTGAAAGCTGCTGAAATGCAAGTAAAAATCGGTTTTTGCTTGTTTGTTTGTTTTAACTTTATGTTGCTTAGGTATTTTCAAAAGCATTTGCTAGTTTGTACAAAATAAAAAAGATAAAATTGCCCATGGCATCCACTGGAAGCCTTAAGGACTTCCAAATCATTAAACTATTATACTTTTAAATAGGGATAGTTTAGTATCTTCTTTTAAATAAAAGCATTATTAAAACTTTGGATTTGAATCCAGCTTCTCCTAGATCCGTGGTGAGCAAACTGCAGCTCATGAGCCACATGCGGCAATTTGGCCCTCTGACTGTGACTCTTCCACAAAATGCCACGGCCTGGGTGAGTCTATTTTGAAGAAGTGGTGGTAGAAAAATTTAAGTTTAAAAAATTTGGCTCTCAAAAGAAATTTCTATCGTTATACTGTTGATATTTGGCTCTGTTGACTAATGAGTTTGCCGACCACTGTCCAAGATGACTCATCAATTTCATTGTTGTTTGTATTCAATTATGTTGATGTGTCATAACTTATCAGTTTCTTGCTACTAGATAGTTAGGCTTTACCTAGCTTTTAAATTATGTTTAGTGTTATAAGAAATATCTTGGTACATTTGGCATCTGATTTCTCTTAAATTATTTTCCAGTGGTATGATCTCTGAGTCAAAGCATATAAATAATTTTATGGCTTTTCTAATAAATTGCCACAGTACTTTTGAAAAGGATTGGGTGGATTTAAAAATGCAAAGAAAATTCTAAAAATAAGAGATCAAAAGGAGAAAATGAAAAGATGAAGACTTGAAATTCTCTTTGAGAGGAGCTAAAGACCCTA